CCTTTCCGACATCTTCAGTTGGGGGATGGGTAGAAACATCTCTCTTAGGGTTTTGTTTTGTTTGGAGATCCAGCTAATGAGTTCACCTGGAAGCCTCAGGGCTAATGATTTGCATTTAGAAAGGGCGGTAGCCATGGCAGGTGGTGTCTCTGTGTGCTGTTTGTATCAGATGTTGAATGTTGCAGTTGTCACTGTGGCCACCCTGATCCCAGGGCAAACATACAAGTAGGAGATAAGCACTTTAATAAAACATACAAGTAGGAGACAAGCACTTTAGTAAAACAGAAAACATGGTCGAAAGTCCTGGTGCTGACTGTCTGGGGCTCAGCCACGCCCACCGACTTAGAGGCAGAGGTTGCAAAATGCCAGGGCGAGGTGTATTTCTCCCGCCTCATACTGCAGTGTTCATGGAGACCACGGGAGACTAGGATTATGCTCTTTCTGCAGAATATTCCTGTAAACCCACCCCCTTCCCTAGAAGGATAAGTGAGCAACAGGGAATGCTACTTGCAGTAACAGTTTGAATTCACTGAAATGCTTTTGTCTTTAGTGCAGTGGTTGTAGCAGTTTGTCAGGGGAAAAGGAAACCCACATCATTTGAGTACCTGATCTTGCCGTCTCCATAGGTAGGTCCATGAGACATAAGTGATGTTCCTCCTTGGCTAAGTGCATGGAGGAATCAATCACTCAAGGTCATGAAACTATAAAGGTGAGGACACAAGACCTAGGTAACACGCTGTGCCCTCTGCTAGTGCCATCCTTCTTTTCTCCCCACAACCAACGGTCACCCACCTCTGCCTGCCCCCATGTCCATGGCTCCCCCACCCTCCCTCCCAGGTCTTCATCACATTCCTCTTCTCGTGATTCATCTTGCATCTACTTCTTGTGTATTTTGCACTGGATATGACAAAGTTCTTTCCGTGTTTTGTTTCTTTTAATAATATAAACTCCAAAATAGATTGTATGATTCTTTTCAAGTGGAACGTTTTAAAAATTATTTGTGCTTTATTACTTCTGAGAGTAATTGATTCTTTAAACGTTGCTGGAGTTTTTAGTGTTGGTTAAAAATTCATCTTTGGATACAGAACTGAACATATTCTTGCTTCATTCACCGAGTTGGTTTGAGAGTAGGTGAAGGAGTCGTCTTGGTTCAAACCCCATCAAATAGGAGGCTGCTGTCCCGGCCAGCAGGTGGCGCACAGCATCAAGGTTTGTTTGTTGGGTGGTTGAAGACAGTTTAAGCAGCCAAGCATTCGCTTTTATTCCCTTTGTATTTTCTCAGCTGAATTAACGCCTATATTTCTGAGCTATAGTTAAGAGTGACAGTGCGATATAAATAACGAAAACACATTTTGCCATTTGGAATTTTCAAATGCACTTATCTTAACTCCCCAGATCTTGAGACTATTTCTCTCAGATATTTTCTTTTGCTAATTTTCACGAGTAATATTTTCAATGTGAAGACAAAGATATTCTTTCTACATTCCTTGTCCAGCATTATGCATATGAGGTTATTTAATATTTGCTGATAGTTAATGAGAATCAATACATCTTTGGGATGGGCCGTAGGAGCATATAGATCAGAAGAATGGGATGAAAAGGAAAGAAAAAGGTGCCAAGAGTACTTTTTACATAGTAATTACCACAATTCCTATGGCCCAGGATTCTAAACTCACCAAGTCACCAGCCATGGATGATCGAGACTGATGGCCACTGTGTGACACGAGCTCATGAAAGACGGATGTTTGTGGGACAGATCGTAGCACTTACTCATTACTGATAACCACACTCAGGGATGGGAATTTGGACCTGATCTATTCTGTTAGTACAATCTGGGGGGAAATATCACAGCTGGTGTCTAGAATATCATGTAGGCGATAATCATATAACAATTCTGAATAGAAGAAAAATAATGAAACCACAATAATCAGGCTTTACATCATTTTTCATCTTGGAGTTTTTGTGTTTTCATAAAGGTAGGATGGGCACCGAGCGAAGATTGTGCCATCACCACCTTCCCCGACACCAGCCAGAAGGAGCCGAGCATGGATAAGAAGACGATCATCATCTGGTTTTCTAACGGCGATGTGAAGAAGGTCAAACCCGATCAGAGAGTGGTGTGTACAATGGATCTTTTTTTTTAAAGAAATCAAAACTAACTCAGTTATTAGGAACGATTTTGCACGTCCCATACCCCATCTCCTCTGTGTGTTCAGGATGGGTTGGGGGGGAACAGGCAGAGCACAGGCTGTGAAGTCGGGTGAACCTGTGTGTTAGCCTGGCTGTTCTGCTTCCTCGGTGCACTCAGGCAAGTAAGACCCTGTTGTCAAGACCCTCCTATCTGCGTGGTGACACAAGAGTGCACCAGCACCCCTCCTGGCTCTGAGTTCAGTCATTGTTTTCAGCTTTTCTAAACCTCTGCAAAATGTGGTTGATAATTACGACCTAACTCAACAGATGGCTATGAAAGTAACATAGTCCATTAAATAATGTCTCTTCTGCAGAACTCTCTAGAAACACAATTATAAACACTTAGTAAATGTGCATTGATTGTAGAACTAGCATTAGTATTGCAACAAAGTTAAGAGTCAGGAGCTAATCCCTGGTACAAGCTGGAGGTAAGATCCAGGGAGATGGTTTTTACAGCTGGGAGGAGGCACTGTGCCCGGCAGCCACCTCGCAGGTGGAGCAGAAAGCGTGGACTTGGGGTTCACAGGCTCGGCCGACTCGCAGCTCTGCCAGACCAGCTGTGCCAACACCAGCCAATTAATTGATCTCATCAGGCCTCAATTTCTGCATTGAAAAAAATCAGGAAATATTTCCAGGTCTGCTTCTCAACTGGGGGCAATTATTCTCCCTGCCTTGAGGGCATTCGCAATGTCTGGAGACATATTTGGTTGTCACAACTGGGGGTGGTGTGGGTGCTACTGGCATCTAGATAGTGGGGCCTGGGGATGTTGTTAAACATCTCAGTGCCCAGGACAGCCTCCCCAACCCCACAGAGTTATCCTGCCCAAATTGTCAATAGTTCTGAGGCTGGGAAAGCCCCCTGTAGGTTATTATAAGGACCAACGTTATGCCATGCATGTATTGCTTGGCACACAGCAAGTACTCAGCAGCTGACAGCTGCTGCTACCATGACGATCTTCACTGGTAAAAGCCGATGAGGTGTTTGTGGAAGAAAAGCCGCAGATGACAGTAGCTGGGGCCCACTTGATGCTGAGGAGCTGTGAAGACACTGTGACCCCCTGGTTCCCACTACATGTCTCTGTGTGTCCAGGGATCACAGACAGAAAACACAGATGCTGAGGAGTCTGGAGGGTTTCCAGGCAATGTCTCCAGGGTGGCAATACTTTTGTCCAGATAATCCAGGGTATAACTTGATTCTCACTGAAGAAAACCTGGGTAATTTACAAAACAGATTGTAAATAAGGTGAGATAAGGGAGGTTAGGGCAGGGCTTGTAGTGCATTGTGAATAGTCTCTTAGTACCCACACACTACCAAATTGTATTCTAAACATTTCCTTCTTTAGAATGATCAATTTCCCTATTGTTAGCCAAGCTTTGGGTACAAATTTAGAGGCACAGGGTCCAGGAGTTCCGAGAGACTGCAGAGCGCATCTCTGTTTTTTCTGTTACTTGCTTTAATGAGAGGCGCCTACTTGTGGCTCTGTGATTTTATCCCAGCTGAGCTTCTCGACCCTTCCTAAGGGTGGATGCTAGAAGCCCGGAGTGTGGACACAGGCGTGGTGTGCTCGTCACGTGCTCTTCTACCGACCTGAACTAACTCACATGCTCCCTTTTTCGCGGGAAAATGCAAACAAGGAGAACTTGGATGACCCCCTTTAGATGGTGGCCTGTGTTATGTCACGGCCCAGTGGAGGAATCTGTGATACTGATCTCATAGCCTGCCCCAGCCTTTCATTGTGAGGTCTGGGTTTCCGTCACTTTGGAGTAGGAAATAGCTGTTTCTTAGCCAGATGTGCAGGTATAGAGAGGCAGAGTGTGACAATATAAGAACTGATGAGGTGAGGATGAGTCAGCGGGAGAGAACAGGGCCTGGCACAGGCCTTGGAAGGACATCCTCCTGTTCCGACCTTTTGCATGGTCAGAGGGAATGGCCACTGCAGGCCAGCGAGTGTGCACCTCCCCAGGTCTCCTGAGGGCACCTCCGTTCCCTTCGAACCTCTCTGGTCTCCAAAGGGAACCTCAACCCCAGAGAGGAGCCAGAGCTTGGACTTGATCATTATTGGAATGATGCAGAATTGAGCATTTGTGGCTTTCTTCTGACAATTGGACAAATTTCCTATGTGAGAAAAATGCCTTTAAAATAATGGCACAGAAATAGTTCCTTCGACTTCAGTGTCGTGGTTTTTCTAAATAAGTCACCCCTCCTATTCTCTTCTGCCTTCTCTCAGCCTTTCTTTGACGGGCAGCAATGCTCTTGCCATGAAAGATGGTAGACATGCAGTGACCTGCCAGGTCCCAGAGCTCAGGAGAGAGTGGATGCCTGTCCGTGGTCCCACTTCAAAATGAACATGTACTTCCCACGGTTTTCTACTTCTGGATCCTTAATTTTTAAATAATTCCCTGTCCCCTCTTGGATGACTGTCCTCTTCCAAAGCAGCTCTTCCCCTCTTTTTTCCCCAGTTTATTGGACACCAGAGGGGGTCACAATGATGGGAAACTTCACAGTAAGATGACAATTCGAGGCACAGCCGGGGACAGTTGATGACTGGAGCATTTCTGTTGTTCGGAGCTGCTGGGAGACCCTTGGTCTGCAAGCTGTGGGGTTTGGGTCTTAGGGTCTTAGCTTTAATTTTGAAGATTATATTGATTTCATTTGCTCTTTTTCAAATCCACCAAAATTATTTTCTCTCTTTCATTTTTAATTTTTAAAATATTCTACAAACATTTGCCTTGTATCTGTTTCTGGTAGCATGATACTTGCTGTCTCGGAGCTCCATGTGGTGCTGGCTGCCACTGGCTTGTCTCTGCTGGTACTTCCTCATGGTGTTGCGTTCCCTCACCTATTTTATGTTTGTGCTGACAGATTGTGTTGGTGGCAATCCTATGGGGCCCAGTCTGGGAGATACTATCCAGAAAGCTTTGTATTTGCTTCTGCCAGGTGTCCCAGGGTACGACCAGCCTGGGATCACTTCGCATTAGCTTCTTAGTTTAAGGTGTTTCAGGTACAGATAGCAGAACTGCAATCACTGATGGTAAATGAGGGTCACCCTGTAGTGACACATTCTTTGGAAAGAGCTCAGAGAGAGACAGCCACACTCCTTGGTACTCCCTATCTGCTGGCAGGGAGATATTTTCTAGTTCCCTCTTTCCTTGGGGCTCTTACCTTCAGAGAGTGTCCTCTTTAAGCATGGACGCAGTTTCAATTCCCAGACAAAGCCCTTCGTCCTATCCCAGCAGAGCGACTAAGGGCCAAACCTCCTGGAGACTGCAGAGGACACCAGGGCAGCCGCAGGTCAGGTTCAGGTCTGCGTTCCAGCACCCTCTGGGATTTGTGGCCCCTTCCATGAACTTAGGTATTCATTTCCCAGGGTTTTTGTGATTTACTTGAGCATTCCTCAGTATTTGTAGTGTATGTGTGGGTGGGATGTCTGATCTGCCCATTGCCATGGCAGAATCAAGGCCTCCGTGGGTCATCTGCTCCTCCGTGACACAACGGACCTCCAGATGGGCCCTTGAAGCTGCTGAGACTTAGGCTGTCCTACAAGTTCCTGGCTCCCAACCCTTTTTCTTTTTGTCCTAATATTTCAGCCAGCGCAGCTGTGTGTCTTGTTAGAATTTTTGCGTCACAAGCTGTCATTTAGGCTCTGACTGGGTATGTAGCAGCAAAGTGGGCACTAGAGCAATTATTTTCTTGAGTGACTTACAGCAAACATTCGACAAAGAAAAATTACACTTGCTAGTTTGCAAAGGCCATGCTGAGCGATTGATTAATATTAGCGCCAGTCTTTTGAAAAAGAAAAGTATTTATAGGTCTGTATTTTATTTTTGTTTAAAAGGCCTAAAACTTTGACTCTCAGCTGGTCCATGTAGACGGTCTCTGATCAGTTCATTTTCCAGCAGGAATTCTAAGTTCTGTTACTGTTCTTGGATATATTTGTCATATGTTCAACAGTTTTGCCTATGGCTGACATTTCCAGAACAGAGTGAAGCAGAAGTGCCATTGTTTCCACTCCTTCTATTTTATAGGTGCAATTGTGTGTGACGTGCATGGTTCTTATACATTCATACAAATCAGCCAAGAATCGTGCATTGATATGTACCAGGCAGTGAGTGAATTCATTTGCTCTCAGCTGTTGACCCAAAGAAGAGCCCCCAGTTTCTCCAGGGTGCTCCATTAATACACAACAGGAAAACAATCTTTTACAATTTTGTGCTCAAAATTATTTTAAAGGGTAGAATTTTCCCTCAGTTGTCAGGTTCTTCACTGTATTCATTTTTCTTAAATATATTTTGTGGGCTGGGCACACACTTAAATATATTTTAGAGTGTGGGCTCACACTAGTTATCCTGGTGCTTTGGGAGGCCACAGTGGGAGGGTCTCTTGAGGCCAGGAGTTAGAGATCACCTGGGAAACATAACAAGACCCTGGTCCTACAAAAAATAAAAAATTAGCTGGGCATCGTGGCATGCTGTTATAGTCCTAGCTACTTGGGAGGCTGAGGCAGGAGGATCACTTGAGCTCTGAGTCTGAGGCTGTAGTGAGCCATGATCACACCACTGCACTCCAGCCTGGGCGACAGAGCGAGGCCTTGTCTCTAAACACACACACACACACACACACACACACACACACACAAAAAGCAGCAAATGGATGTTAAAAGAACAAACGGAGGCCGTGTGTGGTGGTTCACGCTTGTAATCCCAGCACTTTGGGAGACTGAGGCAGGCAAATAACTTGAGGTCAGGAGTTCGAGACCAGCTTGGCCAACACAGTGAAACCCTGTCTCTACTAAAAATACAAAAATTAGCCAGGTGTGATGGTGTGTGCCTGTAATCCCAGCTATTGGGAGGCTGAGGCAGGAAAATCGCTTGAACCTGGGAGGTGGAGTTTAC